TCGTCCTTTTCATCTCCATGATCTTGTCGCTAGGCTTGGTCAGGACTGGAGGATTTTTACTTTAATTTTACTTACTTTTTAAAATGTGTTTTGTTTTTGTCGACCTGATTTGAGTGTTTTTAAAGAACCTGTACCTGATTTCAGACCAGGAGTTGGGAGATTCTTTTGATTTGAACCTTTAGTCCCGCCGACCTCATCCTCACTGGGATATTTTAGCGTAGACCAGAGTCCTGCACGGGTCCATTTTTGGAGACCCGCCCCCGCGCAGTACAGCAAATGAGGGTCAGTCCATTAGTCCGACATCCCAGTAGTCCAGGACTAAACCAGGACTAAACCAGGACTAAACCAGGACTAAACCAGGACTAAACCAGGACTAAACCAGGACTAAACCAGGACTAAACCAGGACTAAACCTACGCCGTGTCATTAGTGGATATAAATGTACTGTATGTATACACGCTGTGACTGCAGAGCCGATCGCCAATCGCCAGGTCTAAACCAGGACTAAACCAGGTAAACCAGGTCTAAACCAGGACTAAACCAGGTCTAAACCAGGACTAAACCAGGTCTAAACCAGGACTAAACCAGGACTAAACCAGGACTAAACCAGGACTAAACCAGGACTAAACCAGGACTAAACCAGGACTAAACCAGGACTAAACCTACGCCGGTAAACAGGACTAAAGTACAGGTAACCAGGACTCAGAGCTAAACCAGGACTAAACCAGGTCTAAACCAGGACTAAACCAGGACTAAAGCCAGGTCTAAACCAGGACTAAAGCCAGGTCTAAACCAGGACTAAACCAGGACTAAACCAGGACTAAACCAGGACTAAACCAGGTCTAAACCAGGACTAAACCAGGTCTAAACCAGGACTAAACCAGGACTAAACCAGGACTAAACCAGGACTACTAAACCAGGACTAAACCAGGTCTAAACCAGGACTAAACCAGGACTAAACCAGGTCTAAACCAGGACTAAACCAGGACTAAAAGCCAGGTCTAAACCAGGACTAAACCAGGACTAAAGCCAGGTCTAAACCAGGACTAAACCAGGACTAAACCAGGACTAAACCAGGACTAAACCAGGACTAAACCAGGACTAAAGCCAGGTCTAAACCAGGACTAAACCAGGAATAAACCAGGTCTAAACCAGGACTAAACCAGGTCTAAACCAGGACTAAACCAGGACTAAACCAGGTCTAAACCAGGCCTAAAACCAGGACTAAACCAGGTCTAAACCAGGATAAACCAGGTCTAAACCAGGACTAAACCAGGACTAAACCAGGACTAAAGCCAGGTCTAAACCAGGACTAAACCAGGACTAAACCAGGACTAAAGCCAGGTCTAAACCAGGACTAAACCAGGTCTAAACCAGGACTAAACCCAGGTCTAAACCAGGACTAAACCAGGTCTAAACCAGGACTAAACCAGGACTAAACCAGGACTAAACCAGGTCTAAACCAGAATCAGGACTAAACCAGGATCATCGGACCGATCATCTCCTCTGATGGTTTTATATAATAAAAACACTAAAGTCTCTCAGCCTGGTCCATCGTTCTGGGCAATGGACGTCCTGGACGCACGTGAAGTATTTTTCTCCTGTTTGTCATTCATTTGCTTCACCCGCCGTGTGTGATCACTACCCGCCTGCACACCTGTCCATTAAATTCTAGAATGTTTAAACCTTCCAGTTTCAACAACTACTTGCGGGTACCTGACCTGGTGCAGGACTCTGCAGAAGTCTACAACGTGAGTGCGAAGTCACCCAAAGTTTTCGACTCCAGTCAAATGAAGCTCAACGAAGCTTCCAGTTAAAGGGGCAATTTTGGAGCTGAGTTCCATATTTAGAATTTGTCTGTTATCGATGTTCATATTTTGATTTACAGACAAAACAGTACAGCAGTGTTCCATTCTCCATTCTCGACTCACGTGTGGGTCAGTTTATAATTTGAGAGACAAAATACAGAAGCGCCGTCTGCTGAATATTGGCTAAACAAATGCGATTTATGCTCCTCTGGTTTACACCTGGCTTAGATCTGAAATAGATCTGATATAGTTCTGGTTTAGTCCTAGTTTAGACCTGGTTTAGATCTAACTGGGCAAAAATTGTTCTGCACTTGACCCATTCGTGACTAACATGTGAGTGGGTATAGTCAAATTTTCTTCATATTTTGGTCATTTTTAAGTATCCTTCTCTGTATTTTACTTAAACAAATGACAATTTATACCTCTCTTTACTGTTGGCAGGGATCAAATTGGTCAAAAATAGACACCTGGGACATTTTCTGTGTAAAACTGGGACACAGGGCTCAAAACTGGGACTGTCCCGGGTAAATAGGAACATCTGGTCGCCCTGTCACCAAAACAGCGGCTACTGGGTTAGAAATGTCCATTTACATTTACAGTCTGTTGTAATTAACAGAAAAAATGCAACGTAAACATGAACAGAGAATATTTTACAGTGACAGAAACAGTTTACCCGCTGCATGGCTTAAAGAACATTTATCATGACAGAAATACATTTAAATCAGGTACCGGCCCTTTAAATCCATCGTTATTAAATTGATGTTTTTTGATTTTTTATGTTTTTGTGGAGTAATCACAAATCCTCCGCGTCCCCCGAGCGAACGGCAGCAGCACTTTCCTGATTCCCCCTGTGTCCGGCAGTAATTTTCCACACACGTTGTTTATAATTCCAAACGGATTCAAATCGAGCTTTATAATACTGTGAAATGCCGGGGAGTTTCGCACACGTCGGAGCAGATCTACAGTGGTTTACGTCGCCAATCGAGCGCGTCTAATGAGAAACGATCTGACAGACTGACTGCTAATTGTCGGTGTTTTATTTGGAATCTCGGCATCATATCCAGTTTGGGAACATCTGCTTTACGCCGTCAAATTATATGACTGCGCAATTAAGGCCCCGTCGATGCTCACGCGGTAAATAAGTAATATAATGTGACAAGAGTAAGACAAAACGGCAGCGTAAATACATTTAAATATTGACTAATGACTGATTTAGTCCTGGTTTAGACCTGATTTAGACCTGGTTTAGACCTGGTTTAGACCTGGTTTAGTCCTGGTTTAGACCTGGTTCAGTCCTCCTGGTTTAGACCTGGTTTAGTCCTGGTTTAGACCTGGTTTAGTCCTGGTTTAGACCTGGTTCAGTCCTTGGTTCAGTCCTGGTTTAGACCTGGTTTAGACCTCGTTTTGACCTGGTTTAGACCTCGTTTTGACCTGGTTTAGACCTAGTTTAGTTTGCTGGTTCAGTCCTTGGTTTAGACCTGGTTTAGACCTGGTTTAGACCTGGTTTAGTCCTGGTTTAGACCTGGTTTAGACTTGGTTTAGTCCTGGTTCAGTCCTTGGTTCAGTCCTGGTTTAGACCTGGTTTAGACCTGGTTTAGACCTGGTTTAGTCCTGGTTTAGACCTGGTTTAGACCTCGTTTTGACCTGGTTTAGACCCGGTTTTGACCTGGTTTAGACCTAGTTTAGTGCTGGTTCAGTCCTGGTTTAGTCCTGGTTTAGACCTGATTTAGACCTTGTTTTGACCTGGTTTAGACCTCATTTAGTCCTGGTTTAGACCTGGTTTAATCCTGGTTTAGTCCTGGTTCAGTTTCAGTTTGGTTTAGTCCTGTTTTAGACCTAGTTTAGTCCTGGTTCAGTTCTGGTATAGTCCTGGTTTACGACGACCTGGTGCATCCAGAATTTGGACAGAGGTGGTTGCAGATCCTTCTCTGTTCACTAACAGTATCTCTGCAGATTCTGTTCATTTGTTGGGAGTCTCCAGAGCAGCTTGAAGGTCCGACGCATGGAAATGATCCACATGTTTGTTTCTGTGTTCTGTATGTTTGTGACGTAAACGTGTACATGACTTGAGCAGATCTGACCAGAGTTTTGCGTCTTGGGCAGTGTAGACGGAAACACAGCGGTGGAGCGTATTGAACTTTTCCGCTCTGGAGGTGGTTTCAGATTTTTGCGTTTGTAACCCTCACTCTCTCCTCGGGGTCACATTGACTTGAAGACATTTTTTTTTTCCTTCCCGCTCTCTTGGGGCAAGTCAGTCAGACCCAAAAATTTATTATCAAATAAATTCTCGCCAGGCAAGAAAAAATATTTGAGGTCTGATTGACCCGCCCAAAGAGAGCGGTAAGGAAAAAAAAATGTCTTCAAGTCAATGTGACCCCGAGGAGAGCGTGAAGGTTAAGCCCCAAAAACACCATCACCGTCTAAACAAAAGACACTGATAAAATATTTTTTATTAATTATTTTTGATTATCAAACAGGCCGTCAGCAATGAAAAAGTGAGGATGTCTTACAAAAAATGTCATTAAAAAACACCTCTAAAATAAAAGCAATGCAGCTTTAGTCCAGGCATGAGGTGAAATGATCAAATATGTTTATTTTGTAATTCCAAATTATCTTAAAGGAGTCAGAGTCAACCAAAGAGGGCTGTACCCTACCTAGTCCTGCTTTAGAAGGTTAATTCAGTCTTCCCATAATCTTAACGGTGCTGTAACAATCATGTTAATGCTGGCATGTTAACAGTGCACATCCTGATTTTTAGACAGTAAAGCGCTTCATAATTAAATGCAGGCAGCACACCGTCGTCTTATTTTGACCTCAAGACCTGCTTGTACAATATATCCTTACTGGAATAAGACAAATTTGAGCTAAAATACATGTAAAACAGCCACTTCTGGAGTTTAAAACGTGAACTCAGATTGGAATCCTTTTTTTTAATGTGTATTTTCAAGTGTTTCAATGTATTTCTGAGCTTTAAAAACACCTATAAATGAATTAATACAAGATAGATAAGTTTAAACCAGATTGTGTGACATTTCTAAACCCCACAGAAAAGTTTAGTTTAGTCCTTTGGAGGGACGACGCAGAGACATAATAAGCTCATAAAACATGTGAAAAGTTTCATAGTGCATCTTTAACTAATCATTCAGCCAAACAGTAGAAGCTTTAGTTTGTGTATCTGGTCTGATTTTCTTACCTGATGAAGATGGCTCCTCCTTGTCTCGCGTTCCCGTCTCTTCGGGGTCTTTTTGTGATTGGACGACCTCCTCTTCCTCCTTCCCAGTGTCTGTATTGTCCTTCTCCTTCTGCTCCGGAGGTTCTAACAGTTCCTCCTTTTTACTCTCCGCTTCCGTGTCCCCCTCCCCAGAGTCCGTACTCCTGATGCTCAGTCTCCGTACCCTGCAAATAACGTCCACCTCCCGCATGCGAGAGATACGCTCCACCGCCACTCGCCCGGGAGAGATCGCCAGCTTGTTCTGCAAGGCTTCGATGCGATGCGACAGTCCTCTGCTCTTTCGCTCCCCCTCCAAACTCAGAGACAGCCTTCGGTCCAAAGTCGGGGGTACGGAAAGAGGCAGCCTGTCCGGGGGGAACTCCGGTAACCCTGCAGGATCGCGTCCCAATTGAGTCCATAAACTTAGTCTATGCTCCGGGGAGACTAATGGCTTCTTTTCTTGCTCCTCAACCTTCGTCGGCTCATTTTTACATTCATCGTTCAGCTTGACCAATCTCTCTTTGCTCTCAACGCTTTCCGAAACATCTGAAACACCTGCTTTAGCTTCAATTTCTACTGCTTGTTCCTTCGCGTCTTCCTTACTACCATCTTTCTGTCCTTCTGAGACTTGACTGTCTGTAGGCACATCACTCGCTAAAGTTGTCTCGCTGTCTTTAATCTCTTCAGTCTGGCTTTCAACGTCCGTATTTACACCGATTTCGTTCGAGTTTCCTGCTTGCTCTGTGTCTTTTCTATCATTCGTATCGTCCGCGCTACTTAAACTCTCCTCTTTCACCTCTTCGCCTGATCCTTTCTTGTCTAAATCGCTGTCTCCCTTTGCCTTGACGTCTTCCGGCGGGCTTTCCAACGCGGCCCGTTGCGGCGGACTCGCGTTTTGGTTCGCGGAACTGTCCGAGCTGTTCTCTTCGTGAAGCGGAGGTAGTGGTCCTTGTCTCATCTGATTTTCCATTTCTCTCTTACAAATCGGACACTCCTCCTCCGAATCCGCCCCCATGTCCTGCATCATTTCCTCGTTCGGCCTGGACCCGCCTCTGCTCGCGTCCGCCGGGTCTCTGGTTTGCCTCAGAGTCTGGCAAATGTCTTCGTAATCGGGAGGGCTCGTCAGCGTGGAGGCGTCTTGCATCGGCTGCCTGTCTGCCCACGGCACTTCTGCGGCAGTGTTTAACGTCGTGGGGCTGAAATCGCAGAGCGGCGTTTCTATCGGCTCGTCCGACAAATCCAGCTTCACCGTCCTGCCGTCGTTGCTTCTCCTTCTCGACAAATGCGCGACTACCCTGTATTCTCTGAAGCCCGTTTCTCTGGGAGGCACGGGCAGCTCCTCTCTCAACTGCTTGCTGAACGTTACCGACTTCGTAGCGGGTCTCGAGAACGCGCTTTTCACTTCCCTGTACTCCGGATCTACCGACCAGCTCACCGCGCTACGCCGCAAGCTGCTGGGTTTGTTCAGCGGTTCTGACGTCAGCCGGATTTTGATGCGTTCTGGGATTTGGACCGAACCGTTTGGGACCTTGTTACCGGCAGTTCCTAGCTCTAAAATATCCTTGTAAGCTTCGTTCAGATCCTCTATACACTTATCTACACTGGGTTGTTTGCTGGTTTGTGGTTGTTGCTGCTGCTGCTGTTGCTGCTGTTGCTGTTGCTGCTGCTGCTGTTGTTGCTGCTCCTGCTCCTGAACTTCCTTTTTAATCGCTTCTAATTCCTTCACAGCGTCCCAAGCGCGCTGACTGGCAGGTTTAATAATATACGGATCGAACCCCTCTTTCTCGCTATCCTCCTCCTCGGCTTCTGGCTCGTCCACGTTTCCTGAGGCGGTACCCTGGCTTATCTGGTTCGAAAACGTCGCGGTGATCGAAAACGCGCTGTTGCTCGACAGTTTCAGACTTTTGACTCCCTTCATCGGAAACGTAAACGCCGTCCCTACCGCGTTGTGATCGATGACGTTCCCGCTCCCGTCGACTTGTGCTTCCTTGTTTTCCGGTATTTCCACTTCGGGAGTCGTTTGCGTTTCCTGATCTCTGTACTGATTCGCCGGCCACGCCCCGGTCAACTTCAACTCCTTATAATGGTTGATTTTTGGCGGTCGGCATGAAACCTTTTTGAACATTTTACTGCTCGACCTGCTGCTTGTTTTGCTGCTGGCGAAACTCGCTGTTAACGCCTGGAGTTCCGCCTCTGCTGAAGATGTGCTTTGGAGACTTTGGTTTGTCAAATGGCCTGTTTTGTTGTTCGTGGGGCTGTCGGCAGGATCGGGCGATTTTTCGTTATTGTTATTCTGATCGCGAATGGTCATTGTTGGCTGTGGCGTGACCGGTACGGACACCAAACAAAAAATGGTTTCGCTTAGTCTCTTTTTCAAATTCTTCGTCTTTTCTTTCTCCTTTTCCGGTTTCTCGGGCGGCAAAGGTTCAGGAACTTCAACTTTCTTCGTTTCGGTCATCGTTTCCGCGACGGCCTGCTCAGGTGGGGGCTTAACCGGAGGAGGCGGTGGTTTACCCAAAATGGAGGATGGAAAAAATTGGCTACGAGTTTGTTCGGGACCAACGCTTTCACTTTTTCTCATTCCCCTGACGAAAGATCTACTAGCGATGCAACTCTCAGTCTCTGTCGTAGCAGTTTTCCGGCTTTCTACGGGCATTATAGCTGGCACCTGCTGCGGAGGAAAGGCACTATCAAGGGTAGATTGTCCTAACGATTTGGCGGAAGGGATGTCTTTGATGGTGGTGGCACTTCTGACTGCTTTCTCAGAGTCAGTGAGCATACTTCCGCTTTGCCCTCCTGAGATTGGTTTAGGTTTTGGGTCTTCGCCGCTAGTTATCGGTAGAAATTGGCGTTGTTGGTCCGCTACCGGAACAAGTTGCCGTTGGTGATCGGTTACGGGGACGAGTTGGCGCTGGGGATCGGCTATAGGTACCAACTGGCGAGGGTGATCGTTAATCGGAACTAACTGGCGTTGGTGGATCATGTGTTCCTCGTTTCCCGGCGGTACGGAGATCTGCCTGCGGTAGCTTGACGCGCGGTCGGCGTAGTAGCCAACCCAAGATCGCGTTTGCCTCGTCAGCCACCTTCCTGGGTCTGAGTTCGGCATTTGCAAAGTGTCCGCTCTCCATCTTAAGTTGGCCATTTCGTGACGATTCATTGAAACGGCTCTCGGGGGCAGAGGTCTCTTGTAAGAAGGGGGTGGTATGTAGCCCGGTGGCTCCATTCCTGTTATGGCAGCTTGCTGTGCGTAGTACTCTTGCCTGAAATCCCCGCTTCTCGAATAGTACGCTAGCCTGTCTTTTTGTTTCGCCCCTTGTTCTAGAGTAAGCATTTCGGCGCTACCCCTCGTCTGCTGGTGTATCTCGTAAGATGGAGGCTTCAGGGGTCTGCTGAACCTGGGCTTTGGTAAAAGTGCAACATGGCTGGCCGGTCCCGAGCTCCTTCCCCACCGCTCTCTGCCAGCACCGTAGACGTACCTGCTGTAAGGCCCAGAGAAAACAGTACTGCTCATCCTCTGTCTGTCCGGTAAACTCGGCCGCGAAGGCACAAGCTCTCGACACGTGTTTCCCTCCGGCGAAAGGACTCTCGGGAGGGACTGCGACTTCGCTTTCGTTTTGGCGTGAAAGAAGCCATCCGGCGTCCTTAGTCTGTACGGGTCTAGCGCCCACCTATCGTCACTGTCCGACCTCCCTAACGCTGCAGGCCTCCACTCCTCGTTCCCCAAACTCTGGCACTTCCGCTCCTCCTCGGTGACCCTGAGCTGTCCGGGGCCGGAGTCGGGGTCCCGTAGCCAGGACAGGTCCTCCCACAGCTGCTGCGCCTGCCTCTCCGCTCTCAGCTCCTCCGCGGTCAGAAGGGCTTGGGGTCTCCACGCGGTGGTCGAGGCCCTGAGCTCCCTCCCGTCCGCGTAGTCCAAGAGCAGACTGAAGTCCTGGCCGCGCCTCCTCCAGTACGACAGGTCCCGGTCGTCGTGGCCCAGGCTCACCAGGCTCAGGGGGTCCGAGTAGGTCAGGCTGGGGACGTCGTAGAACCTGCAGCAGAGAGAGAAACACGGGAGGTAAAGTTTAGGGGCAATAAAGTGTCAACTGAAAGAACTAATGAGTGCTTCAGGTAAGGTAGTTTTCAATGTTGGGGAGTAACAGATTACATGTACCAGCATTACGTAATCAGAGTACAAATGATGAGTAACTGTATTCAGTTACAGTTACTGTTTCAGTGAGTGGTAATTGGATTACAGTTACTTTGTTGAAATAAATGGATTACATGGTGGTATTTTCTTGTTTTCACATTTTAGGCTATATCCCCCACCCCTTTTTTTCCCCTTTTTTTTCGTAATTCCACTCATTGCCGGAAACTAAACCAGGTCTAAACCAGGACTAAAACCAGGACTAAACCAGGACTAAACCAGGACTAAAACCAGAACTAAACCAGGACTAAAACAGGATTTAACAGGACTAAATCATGCTGCACAGATGTGTCTCTTCTTCTTCTATCAATAATATTTTTAATATGGTTAAGGAAAGTCTGGGCTTTTTATTTTGTTTTATCAGACAAAACATCTTATGTTACGATTTCCTGGTCTTTGCTTCTCTACAGCAAATCAAGTAATCCAAAGTATTCAGATTACATTACTCACCTTAAATAATTTAATGGATTACGTTACAAACTACATTTTGGGGTATGTAATTTGTAATCTGTAGGGGATTACATTTTAAAAGTAACATTCCCAACACTGGTAGTTTTTTTTTTTTTTTTTCATGATCTTACCTGTAGTTGTGTTTTGTTTCAGTCACACTTGTGTCAGTCCATGTCTGTGAAAATCCTTTATAATTTTGTATGACTTCAGCAGACCTGTACTGATAACTTTAGTGCTCAAACTGCTTTTGTTAATTTTATTTACAACAGTGTTTCCCAAACTTTTTTTTGTGGGGATCCACGATCACGACCCAAGTCAACAGCCTCAAACACCTGTCCCTTTAAATTATGGAACAGTTGCTGCAATGAGCTAAACCAATTTAAAATAACTTTTAAGAGAATAGAAATGGAAAAATATTTGAAAGAATAATGACAGTAAAGAGATTTTTGTTATAATTAGATAAATTTTAAAAAAAAAAAATTACAATGTAGTAAAATGTATTAATTAGGCACAATAAGCTTTAGCTTCTGCCTACACTTGGTCAGTGATTTACTTAATGTTTGATTCGATTGTTCTACACCAGACATGTCAAACCTAGGCCCGGGGGCCAAATTTGTCCCGTGATATAATTATATTTGGCCCGTGAGCTGACCTGCTTGCTTCAGATTGACTATAGAGACATTATTTATTCAAAATGTTGTTCTTATTTTATATTCTGTTTGTTCTGGATTCAATGTTTAAGCAAAACTATTATTAAACATTTGTTTTAATAAGAAAAGGTTTAACATTACATATCTCAAAAGAAGAGAAAACATGCAGATGTTGTTGAAAATTTTCAATAAATATTTAGTTTGGCCCAGTCCCAGTTTTTCATTTTGGCCTCTGTGAATTTTAATTTGACACCCTGCTCTACACACTGAATATGTTTTATTTCATGACATCAGGCTGAATGTCATGTATGTAGACCATTGTTTCCCAAAGACTGAGTCACGACACTCGCAAGAGATTTTTTTTTTTGAGTCGCCTTTTCATGATTTGCATGTAGGTCTGTGATATACAGTTCTGACACATGAGAGCGAGTGAATGTCCTGTCGTCAGGATGGTCAGTATTTCTGTGCTTATTCCTTTTATTACTACATATATGTGTGAATTTGGATTTTCTGTGCTCAAAAAACTGAAAACAAACCACAGAAACAGACTGAATGCTACAAAAACACAAACAGGTCCAACAATCTCACTAGAAATGTTGAAATGTTAAGACATGTTTTGTATAATGTCTAATCTTTTTGTAATTATTTTAGTGACTATTTTGTTCTAGTTTTGCTGGTTCAGTTGAATGTTGAAAAGAAAAACAAACAGGTTAATTTTAATGTCCAAATAGGCGACTTATGGATACTTTTATTGCTGTTTTTCATTGTTTAAAACTTGAGTCATACAAATTTTTCAGAGACATGATCACTCTAACAACAAGTAACAACAGTAAAATATCTTCATTAATGTTCAATAATTTTCAAATCCACCTTTATTTTGTGATTTATGAATAATAATCTATAAAAATAATCTATTGCTTTGGGTTGTGAAGGTTTGTGACTTTTAACCCTCTCCAGGCAGGTGTTGCAGATTTGCAACAGCTAAATTCCAATTACCTACGTGAGCGGTGAGTGTTGGAAATATGTCGACTTTGAGGCTAGTTTTTGGTCATTTTGTTATGGATTAGCTGCTGTAGCTCCCGCACATAAACAGACTGTTTTCTATTGGTCTATTGTAAAAAGTGACTATATTGGCCGTATATTTGCTACTGGACCTGCACTGATATGTAAATGAGCTGTGAACAGACGTGTGAATTATGACATTTGCGACATATAATTAATTACCGCGGCGCGCACGTATTTACGGCTAAAGGCTAATAGCGCTAGTTTCTTTACCAGTTATGAGTCCGTTGCGAACGAAACGGCTCTTAGAGCCGACTCTTTCAAGCGAACGACGGGGGCCTGATCCTTATTGGGAGCTGTGTTTTCTCTTTCTCTCACTTTTTTTTCTCTTCACGCCGCGTGCAGACTCGTGGTTTGACTGCGGCAGCGGCTGAAAACGAAACTTTGAGAAATTTGCGTGTACATAGGATAAAAAAAAAAAAAAACAACTAGCATATTTGGCTGTAGTTTAGCATAAAATAAATAAGTCCTGGTTTAGTCCTTTTTCAGTCCTGGTTTAGACCTGGTTCAGTCCTGATTCAGTCCTGCTTTAGACCTAGACCTGCTTGCAACAAAACAATCTGAAGAGTGGGAGCCAAAAGAACCAGCCTGAGCCGAGCCAAAAGAGCCGGTTTCTAAAAGAGAATCCATCACCTGTGCAGAATAAAACAAATGAATGCATCTGTTTCCCAAGAGCACACTTGCGGCGAGCAAAGCAAGTAAGGAGAGACCATAAGTGAAGTAGTGTGTTCAGCAAAGTAAATATCAAAACACAAAAGCTTCGTGACGTCGTCTTGTAAAATAAACGAACAGAACCTTAAGATTATTGTTGAAGCACATGATTTGTGGCCTGTTGCTAAGACTGCCTAAAAGACATAACTGGAGCTGATGACCCATCACTAGCCCATGTCTAGAATGTGATGCAAAAATGCCATTTAGTCCGACCTGCTGTCTGTAAATATGATGTAAAGAGGCAGAATAACAATAAATGTTGCCTAAATAAACCCAATTTTAAAATCCACCAGAGCCAAACCTAAGTTTTTTAAACAATTCAACATTTACAGTGAATTTTTACATCACTAAATATATCGGTGATTATATCGGCAGCTCCAACCCCCATTATATCGGTTTCATATCGACCACAGCAAAATCCATATCGGTCGGGCTCTACTACACACAAACGGCCTGACAGAAGTGCAAAATACTTTTTTTGTTTACAAAGGATAAAAAAGTCAGGATTGTATATTACTACCCCATATTATAATTTTCCCCAAATATCAGATTTTTCCTGATACTAAAAATTAATTTGAGCCTGAGAGGGTTAAAATATGGATCCCCAGAAAAAAAAAAAAAAAAAAGTTTGGGAAACACTGATGTAAACTGTAATGAATTAAACATGAAACAATTTTGACAAACCCAACAGTGCAAGATATATGACTTTTTTTTATTACATTTGGATAAATCTGTGCATCAAACATAATGACACAGTTAAAATCCGTCTTTATTTATGAACCCATCAGTATTCTGCTTCGCGCGGTTGACTCTCTGACCTTGCGCACCGGTGATAATGGACTTAACGGGAGCTCTGCGAGGAGGAGACATTACAGAAACACGACGGAGACGGAGACGGAGATGATTAGAGGGGAGTTTTACGGCGCGGCCCGAGCGGGACGGACTCCGCGCGGGACAGAAGTGCTTGAGTCAGCTGCTCCCGGGAGTGACGACACACAGGAGACGATGCCGCCGCAGTCCCGCGCGCATATTAAACACCCGTGACCTTATCCGCGGCCGTTCGGAGGCTTTTAGGGATACTCGGCAAGACGGACCAAAACAAAACAACGCACACTAACGACACATCTCAGAGCTGTTAGTGCTAATATAGTTTATTTTGGATAAGTATATTTTATTAATTTAATCTTTTATACGTCGTAAAACTGCTCAAAGGTTCATATTTCATTCATTCATTATCCTATATTTATTTTAAATTTGAAAGTTTCGCGTAAATTATAAATAACGTGTTTTTTTGAGAGAGAAATGCTGAATAAATACATCGTGTAACTAAAAAATAATCATAGTGTACTAGTACTCTATTTGTAGTAGAAGTAGTAGTAGTAGTAGTAGTAGCATTTGCAGAACCAGTTATATGGCGTTATTTGCAGTGACAGTATTTGTAATAACAGTGGTAGTAGTACTCTATTTGTAGTAGCAGTAGTAGTAATAATAGTAGCAGCAGTAGTAGTAGTAATAGTAGTAGTAGTAGCAGTAGTAGTAGTAGCAGTAGTAGTAATAATAGTAGCAGTAGCAGTAGTAGTAGTAATAGTAGTAATTAGCAGTAGCAGTTGTGATAGTAGCAGTAGCATAGTAGTAGTAGTAATAGTAGCAGTAGTATTAGTAGTAGCAGTAGTAGTCGTAGAAGCAGTAGTAGCAGTAGTAGTAGTAATAATAGTAGCAGTAGTAGGAGTTGTAGTAATAGAAGCAGTAGTAGTATTAGTAGCACTAGTAGTAGTAGTAGTAGTGTAGTAATCGTAGCAGTAGCAGCAGTAGTAATAGTAATAGTTGCAGTAGTAGCAGCAGCAGTAGCAGTAGTAGTAGTATTAGTATTTGCAGTAACAGTAGAAAAACAGTAGAAACAATATAATTTGGTTTGGCTTTTAATTGGATGTAATAAGATTATTTACAGTCTGATTTTGGCCTATGAATGTCT